ATCTTTCGCCACACCGCAAAAAGCGTCAGCTGAGGGTCGTTGCTAAGTACCGGCTTAGCTGCTACGAACCCTAGGCAGAGTCTTGGGGTGGTGGCGGGACTGAAGTGCTAGCTGGTGTACGGAGGTTGTTACCTTCCTGCATTCGGCCAGCCTTTCGCCAGGCTCCTACGACACCGGTGCCGTGCCCGAGATCGGCGCCCGCGTTTCTCATGGCACTTCGGGGCCTGAAGCCCCCCAGCCTTACGGCCCCATCGTTGCTGAGCGTGTCGTTCTTCATGGGAAGGGGCAGTGGGATTTGGCCCGGCACCTTGAGCCTGACCTTTGCATGGCCTTCCTCGAACCGGAGGTTCTCAGGTTCCCTGGCACCGGTGCTCCCTGTGCCTCCTTTGCTGCTGAAGACAAGGGCGAGCTACTTCGTCTTTGCCGGATCTGGGATGCTTCGGGGCTCCTTTCTCTCGCCCCCGGGCCGCTTCCCGAGAGGGCCCTCACTCGCGTTTTCGGCGCGTTCAAATCCCCAGAAAAGCAGAGGCAAATCGGAGACCGCCGAGGGCAGAACTCATGGGAGGCTAGACTTTTGTGGCCCCAGCCGCTTCCTGCCCACCGGCGCCCTTCTCGCCCGCCTTCACGTTCCCAAGGGCTTCTGCTTAAGTGGCTGCGTTACGGACAGGCGAGATTTCTACACGCAAGCACGTGTTTCTTTTGAGCGCTCCCGGACCAATGCGGTCGGGCCCTGCTTTCAGTTATCGGACTTTCGCGGCCTGTCTGCCCACCTGGACTTCTGCACCAAGGCTGCCGAGAATCAAGTGTGGGCGCTGTCTTCGTGCGAAGGGGTGCTCGACTTCCCCCCGCGTCCTTCTGTGCTCGTCTCGGACAGCCTCCCTGTTCACCCCACCTTCAAGGCCTTGCTCCAAGGTGATGCTGGAGGAGTAGAGTTTGCAACGGCCGCTCATTTGGGTATGCTCCAGTCTGCTGGTTGCCTGCTTGGCCCCAGGGCCCCTGGAGCGGTCTCATCATTGATGATTTCTTTAGCCTTTTTGTGGAGGCTTCGGATTTCGTTCCCGGCGGCCCCTCTGCCTCTCTTGGACTTCTCCACCGTGCCAAGGCTGCCTACACTCGTGAAGCTGTGCTGGGCTCCGATGAGAAAGACGTTTTAGCACAGCGTGTTTTGAAGGTTGCCGGTGCAGAGATCGACACCGATCCCACCACCACCTCGGATGGCCTGGCTTTGGTCGGTTACCCTGTTGCCAAGCGACTGGCCCTCTCTGCTGCTTCCCTTCGTGCGGCCCAGTGTTCTCATATCACTGCCGAGCTTGCTGATATGTTGTGTGGCTCTTGGGTCGCCTGCCTCCTTTAGCGCAGGTGCGTCATGTCTGTGCTAGACCGCGTCTTTGCTGTAAGTCGGGGCGGGCCTGCTGAGAACATCGCCCGAGAGGCTTTGAGACCTCTACCTCGGCGTGCCGCCGGTGAGCTTCAGCTGCTTGCTGTGCTCGCCCCTGTCATCTGCAGCAATCTTAGCGCTGACCCTTGTGAGCGGATCTTCGCCACCGACGCCTCTAATACTCATGGGGCCGTGTGTGCAAAGACTGTCAGCCCTGAGGTTTCTCTGGACTTCTGGTTGGCATCTGATTTCCGTGGTGCTGCGGTACACCTTGCCTCCCTCCCTCGGGGAAAAGCTGCCGGAGATGACCCTGCTCTTTCGGCTGACGCCGTGCCTCTTCCTGCAGCCGATGCCTTTGAACAGCTCGGTCCTCTCGACTCGGGCGTCTCCCCGCCTCCGCCTGCCAAGCCTTGGGCTTTCGACTACTACGACTTTCTTGAGGTCGGCACAAGTGGTGGCTTTGTTGCACGCCAGCTCGTGGCTGGGAACTTCTGTGTCGGCCCTTTGGTTGACCGTCGCCGCTCCAGGCAGTACGACCTAGGAGCCTCGCCTCTGCGTGGCTGGCTTGTGCATCTGGTTTCGGAGTCTAAGGTTCGAGCTCTTTGGCTCTCGCCCCCTTCAGGCAGCCTTCACCTCGCGCGTGCTCGCTCGCAGACCCCTGCCTCCTCTGACGACCTCAGGGCTCTCGCTACCTGCCTCTTGGTCTTCAGCCTTGCTGTCCGTTGGGGCCTGCCCGTCCTCCTGACTGTCCCTCGTTCCAGCTTCGCTTGGCGCTCCGGGCTTTGGGGTCGTCTTTCTAGGGTCCCCGGCGTTCGTGGACTTAAGCTGTCTGGTGCTGCCCTTGGTGTGTCGGGGCACTCCGGCCTCGCTTGTCTGAGCCATGGCCTCGACTTGTCTGCTTTAGACCGTGACACCAGCAAGGCCTCCCGCCACGTTGTCCCGTTCTCTGGTGGCTGCTTGTGGGCATCCTGCCCGAGCGCTGTTCGCAAGATCGCCGGTGCTTTTGCCAAGGCCCTCCGCGCCTTGCGCCGGGATGAGCCAGGCCCCCCGACAGGTCTCGAGAACCTCGCTGTCAACGACCTTCTCCTTAGCGAGGGCTGGTCTGTGCTGGCCGCCTGGCGCTGGTCTTCCCCAAAGCATATAAACGTACTCGAGGCCCGCGCTGTTGCCGCCGTCGTTCGTGACTGTGCCCACCGGGAAGGCGACACCAAGGTCACGATTCTCGCCGATTCCTCTGTCGCTCGGGGAGCTGTTGCCAAGGGCCGCTCCTCCTCACACCAGCTCCGACCTGTTTTGCTGAGGATTGCCGCTTGTGCCGTCGCTGGCGGTGTGTATCATGGCCTTCACCACGCACCGACCAGGCTCAACATCGCAGACGACCCTACCAGATCGAAGCCTCTTCGAGCTGCCAGCTCTGCATCGCTCCTTTCCTCGCCTTCGCTTTGCTGCAGTGAGCTTTTGGGTTTCTCTTCCCTCTCCTCCGCTTCCGCTGGCTGGGTTCGGCTCTCCCTTCTTCTGGCCCTTAGGCGTAGTGGGGTTTCAGGTTCTAAGCTAGTGCTTGCCCTTTCCCAGCCCCTCCGAAAAGAGCTGCCCCAGCACGAGAGCATCGAGCCTGCTCCTGCTCTGCCTTGGACCAGCAAGTGCTTTGACGCAACTTTGGGCTACCCTGGAGAGGGCCCTTTACAGCCAAGGCACGCAAAGGATGAGGGTAGCCAACGAGAGCGCGCTCGCAGCACGCTGCCCGAGGGCCGGCCGATCCTACAACGCACAACTGCAAATAGGGAGCACCTCGTCAAGAACCTCGAGGCATGGTTGCGTGGACGAGGTGTTTCGGCTGAGTCTTTTTGGACTGCTCCGGCAGAGCAGGTCGCAAATCTCCTTTCCGTTTATGGGAGGGAGCTTTTCGACGCTGGCTTTCCTTATTGGCATTACGCTGAGACTATAAACTCAGTGTCCGGCAGGCGCCCTGCGATTAGGCGCCAGATGCAGGGCGCCTGGGACCTCGCTTTTTCCTGGATGACCCTCGAGCCGCACACGCATCACACGGCAATGCCATCAGTAGTGCTGCTCGCGCTGCTGACGGTTTGTCTGGTTTGGGGATGGCGCTCAGAGGCCGGGATTTTTGGTTTAAGCTGGGGAGCGCTCTTGCGCATAGGAGAGGCCACCTCTGCGACAAGGAGCTCTCTTGTACTTCCTCGCGACGTTCTTTGGACACAGAAGTTTATATTGCTGCGGATCAGTGAACCGAAAACCCGCCTGAGGACAGCCAGGCATCAAGCTGCAAAGCTGGAGCCGCAAGACCTCGTCCTGTTAGTTGACAGTGCTTTCAGGGACTTGCCTGCTTGGGCTAAACTCTGGCCGGGTTCCACCCAGACTTTGCGGAGGCGTCTGGACGCAGCGTTAGCAAGGCTCGGCATCGTTCCTCGGGAGGCAGAGCGCCCTCTCGATGTAGGGTCTTTCAGACCAGGTGGAGCAACTTACATGCTCCAAACAACTGAAGATTCTGAATTAGTCAGGCGTCGAGGACGATGGGTGAGCCATCGTGTCATGGAGATTTATCTTCAAGAAGTTGCTGCCGCAACTTTTTATCCAGCACTCCCACCGGCTGTACGACAGCGTGTGTTGCAAGCGGCGAGCTGCTTCCCCGCTGTGCTTTCGCAGTCGCTTGCGTGGACTCGGGATAAGATCCCCACGCAAACGTGGTACCACCTGTGGTCGTGAGCTTACCATTTGCACTGGTATATGGTGGGTGAGGTTGGGGCTTCAAGTTTGTCTGCACTGCCCTGTTTTTACGAATCTTCGAGGACAGGATGCCAGATGAACATTCCTGGCTTGCTTTGTGGTGCAAATGGACAACCCAGCATGCAGAGCCAAAAAGGTAGTTCGAGCTTCTGAACTTTAGAAGCGAGTGACGTACTTTTGCCTGCGGGCTCGAGCTCTCCCTCCTCGCCCTCCCGCTCTCGACCGCTGGGGCTTCAAGTTTGTCTGCACTGC